CCTTTCCCAATGTTTACAAACATTTTTGGCGGCAAAAATTTCGTTTATGGTGATTTCTTCCCTTGTAATAACACTCCACGGAACAACGATATTCGAGGTAGTAAAGGAATGGACGCCCACAAGCACACCTTAACCACAAGTCTATAGAGAAATCAATTTGTTGCGGAAGCTGGTTCACCCTCACCCTGACCCGGAGGGAACACAGTGGGAACAAGGCTCTTATTTCCTCCACTCACCTTATGGATGATATCCAAATCACCTTTCTTGTCCTCGTCTGCATAGTCCAGCAGCACATACAATATCGACTGTGACGAAAACGGCTGGCGTGTAGCCATATTTGATTAATACGGAGGTTATTGTGCCCGGCGGTCGGCCTCAAGTCCAGCCTCCACGCTGCCTCCTCTCTCACTATGATGGCCATACCCTTATTGGCTCAGTTTTCTGATCAAGCCTCTTAATTCCTCTTTTGGATTTTATCGTAATTTTATTATTATTTAATTATATTGTAATCAAGGTTGCAAGTATTTCAAGGATGCGGAATTAATAGCAGTATGAGTTTATTACTTTTGTTTGCAAAATAATTCAAACCTTTTTGTGGCCGCTCCTTTGTTATTAATTTGTTTTTTTCCCTTGTACACTGTGTCTGCGTAGCCCATAATCTGATATTTTCAAATTCAATGTTATAAAGACTTCCCGGTCCAAATTAAGGTCTGCGTATAACGAAAATGTCACGAGCTAAGATAGGATGGCCAGCAGGTATATATTCAGCCATTAAAGTTCAATATATTAGATCACACTTTATTCTTTTTTTTTTTACAGACAGAGGTGGTTATAGGAGTAAGGAAATCTGTCTCCTGTTAGCAGGCTTAGAGTTTTCCCTTCCTATAACTCATGTTAATACTTACCCTATATTATTGAATATTAATATCTTGGGGAATGCTATAATTCCATTTGTGTCGTTTGATATACGAATATGAAACAGAACAATGACTTTATCTGATAGTGAGAGGAAATTATAATCACTTAAGAATGATAGAATATTACTTAAAAACAAGGTGTGTTTGGATATATGTAATTTCAATGAAAAGGAATTAGCAGATTAAATTGATTTTAAGATGTTTCCCTCTTCTAATTTAATATTATCATACCGATCTAATACAAACCTTTGCTTAACCGAGGAGAACCAAATTATAACTTATTTACGGCATCAGGACGAGTCGCCCTAATTCCAATTCTTAGGCAAGTTTTTAATAGGCTTTCTTGAACGCGTTAGATTAAGTTAGGCTAGGATATCTTCAGTTAGATAAAGCTTTATGTTGGTATGAAAATACAAAGCGCCGTGGCTGAGACTATAGAACCTTCGCTGTCGTGAAGGAAAGCTTAGTGCTGTACCACTGTACCACCACCCCACAAGAACGCAGGGGACAGTATTTTTTCAACTGATTCAACCCCCTTGCCCAGGTGCATTCGGGTTTCGTGGTCAACTATTTCACCCACTCCTGAGAATTATATAGACGATATGTAATGTAGTATTTCCCGTGTAAACTGATTTATATATGATATTTATACTGTATATTATTTAATAAAGAGAAAACAAAAAGTTCAGTGAGACACTATATCATATGATAAACCTGAATAGTCCCCAATTTGTATTGTATTTAACAATAAAACATTGGGGGACCATTCAGGTTTATATATATATCAAATGATAAACCTGAATAGTACACAGGCCTCACCTTAAATATGGGGTTGAATGCACCCGGGCATGTGGTTAAATGACTTCATGAAGACTCTCCCATGCTTTTATATCATCGTGGTCCATCCAGGCATGGCAACCAGGCCTTGGGGTCAACAGGTAGTTTTGTTGGGTTGTCAATAAACTGCCTGAAGACTACAGCATATTAAAGTTTGCCACAACTTTATAATTGAGATCGAGCGAAATTTAAACCAGTCTGGCATTTACAATTTGGCTTGGCTAGGCTACAAATATATCTGAGTTTTCTCCAGCTTCCTATGCGGGGGTAAGTATTAGCGGATATGACCAACCCCTCACCGTGAGGCCGCGCGGTGGGGGCCATTTAGAACCGGTGCCGGATTCTGCAGTCACGACCAAATGACGGAAACGTTGGTATAAGTCACAAACCAAGGTCGGTGGGTTAGTGGAGGCGTTGTTTGCTGTGTTTACAGGCAATTAACTTTCCTGGTGCCCAAGGAGGAGGCGTTGTCTGCTGTGTTTACAAGCAATTAACTTTCCTGGTGCCCAAGGAGGAGGCGTTGTCTGCTGTGTTTACAAGCAATTAACTTTCCTGGTGCCCAAGGAGGAGGCGTTGTCTGCTGTGTTTACAGGCAATTAACTCTCCTGGTGCCCAAGGAGGAGGCGTTGTCTGCTGTGTTTACAAGCAATTAACTTTCCCAAGGAGGAGAAATTTGCATACTTATGTGTAACTGAACATTTCACTAATATACGTAATTGTTATAGTAATCGTCTACATGTTTTGCTTGCTACTTACAAATCACTTATTCATAACATCTAGTGTGGAATCTATTATGCAATCTACGTTCTTTCTAAACTTTGCATACAATCGAGAATGGCATACTTTCTAAATGCCAGTCTCGATTGTTTCGTGAAGGAGTTTTAAGATAGCTTCGTTAAACATGAGTCCAGACTCTTCGGGGCAAGAACTCAGCTTGATTCAACAACTCATCCTGTTGTATAGATAGTACCTATTGTGACGATCATCAATAGTTAGAATTCGTACGTTCTTAGCTTGTAGATAGTAGTATACTGATTAGTAAGGAATTCTTTTCAATTAAAGGAAGCTTAAACATAAACTCAAATATTCCTAGGCCTAGTATAGCACATATGTACTATATTAGGCCTCAGATATCTACTCATAAAATTTGATAAATTAAATTGAGCATTTGCCAAGTAAATTGAAGATAAAATATCTTTATTCACAATACAAGTTTCAATGTGAGTGCTGAGCATATGTGTCGACGCGAGGATTTAGCCAGTTATGAAAGTTGCTGGGAATTATTAATTTATGCAGCAAAAAGAACATTAGAGAATTATTTATCCAATCTTTTTGACAATCTCCAGTTGCATGACCTCAATCTGTGGTCATGAAATTATATGTACCAAGATGGTATTGTAACTAGAGCTTCCTTTTAGATTTGGCTCAGGTGAGGCATAGCCTATAGTTGCGATTTACTTTTAATTTGGATAGGCTAGGCCTTGTTGACATTCAACAAAACTAATCATATAAATTGAGAAAAACACCCAAGTTTAACTATTTTAAAATACGTAAACTATTTGACTTTCTGATAAGAGAGCATCGCGCCTTATTAAGAAGGATGCACAGTTATAAAGAATTGTAGATCCCCCTAAAATGATATTATTTACAACTGTCTAATGTATTCATCTCGGCTGCTATGATTCAAACAACGGCTCAGTCTTTCTCAACATAGTATTGATATCTTACTTTGATGTTAATAATTCATAACAATACCACATTTAAAAAGCATCAATAACCTCTAAATATAGTCTGAATTCTACATGTGTGGTGAAGTTTCGTGTTCCATAGTACCCTCACAACACCATGTTTAGTTAGATGACCTGTTGTTGTTTTAGATTTAACTACTCTGAACGAAGTGTCCATGTAGCACGGGCTATAGTGAGCCCGTAATTGAGTTCAGTTATTCGCGATAACCTTGTTACTGTGATATTTGGGTCAAAATTTTCAATGGAGGTGGGGTTTCCTCCTTTTCCCCTGTTTCTTGTCCGCTTCTGTTTTATAGCACTAGTTTTAGTCTTTGTGACCTTTAGATAACTTCTTCATATATCGCCAAAATTGTCATGGAGATTCGTCGCCCTTACATGCCTCCAGCACCACAAGCTCAGGACGCGCACAGCCCTGAGACGATGCCAACATGCCCTTGTAATGCCAGTATTATGAGGAAACATTCAACACGCTGGAGAGTTCATATATTAATCTGCAAGTAGCCCCATAATGAAAGCTGTATTGAAGAAGAAGAGAAATAATAATGATGAAACGACAGGAACATCTGTTGGTGCCACCAACGTCACAATGACAGATAACAAAAACAATAATAATAATAACAGTGACTGTCACTTCAATAATGCAAACATGTGAATAACATTATTCAAGAAAAATATACAGTCCTGCTACTGCTACATTTAACTCTACAGAAACAGAAATTATGCAATTGACTGCTAACGTCAACGTGAACTTAATAATGATAATAATTAATACAATAAATGCCTAAAACATCAACAAAATTAAACAGCAATAAAAAAGTAAATTGAAATCAAATTAAATGTAGAAATAAATTGAAATAGCAGTTAAATGTCAACTGTGGGTACCTTGAGCGTGTTGGTAACTAGAAGCTGGACTCAATAGAATAGACTCATGCGCTGGTCACACTCACTCTCAGCTTCCTCACACACTCATGCGCTGGCCACACACACTCCCAGCTTCCTCACACACTCATGCGCTGGCCACACACACTCCCAGCTTCCTCACACACTCATGCGCTGGGCACACTCACTCACAGCTCTCATGACATATCTTCTAATCAATCAAATATAATGGAATAGTGCAAAATATTTAAAAAAAATTATGCTTAATAATATTTTACACTATTGCACCTTTTTCAGTCTAAGTTGCTTATATATATGATTCACTTTTTCAATCTTTCAGTCTAAGATGTTCTGATATAGTGTTGGTCTTGTCCTTTGTCCATGAACTTTATGTCACGTAATCCCTGGGCAAGTTTAGGTGCCCGGGGATACGCGTAGCCAACTCGTAGCTAGTACTCGCACTCGTAGCTCGTACCCGTACTCGTAGCTCGTACTCACACTCGTAGCTCGTACCCGTACTCGTAGCTCGTACTCACACTCGTAGCTCGTACCCGTACTCGTAGATCGTTCTCGTAGCTCGTACCCGTACTCGTAGATCGTTCTCGTAGCTCGTACTCACACTCGTAGCTCGTACCCGTACTCGTAGCTCGAACTCATACTCGTAGCTCGTACCCGTACTCGTAGATCGTTCTCGTAGCTCGTGCTCGTAGATCGTACTCGTACTCCAATGCTCTTAGCGTATGGGAGCTGTGACATCTGCCAGTCTGCTGGGTTTGTTAACTACCCTTCAGTAGTCTAACCACATCCGGTCCTTCAACGTGACTTAACCACCTCAGAACTCTGTCTCGCTCCTCAGGTTTACTGCCTTTTTGTATTCCACATCTTTCTATGACACTTTTACTTATATATATATATTCTTCACATGCTTCCCATGCGTCTCTGAATGGCAGTTTTCACAGTCTGTAATTCTAGGTATTTTTTTAATATTTTTTTTACTATAACTGAAATATTTTCAAAATATCGTGTAATTAGCATATTTTATTGATTGACAGTTAATATCTAATATATATATATATATATATATATATATATATATATATATATATATATATAATAGAACTACGCTACACAGTATTAAGGAATAATAGGCTTCATATAGCCTCGACGAGGCTGCCCTGCCATGGACTCTCGCGGACGCGCGCTGACTAAACACACTGACAGGTAATTACCGCCAACAATAACATCTAGGATAATTATCCTACCGTAATGGAGCAGACCGTCTTCTACTGAACGATAACGACATTTATCCCAGGATAGAATGTTACGGTATTAAATGTGTGACGCGCACAATTGATAAAACTCTTAGCTTCGTTGCGTACTTATCTTAATGAAATTTCCTACAGTTAGAAAGGTATTTGGTAACTATAAAAATATATGTTCGCAGTTTATATTAAAGCTGTGTGTTCCTGCTCACGGGGAACCCTTGCTCTTAGTTGTGGGGTTATCCCCTGGGGCCACCTGTGTCTCCTGTGACGTGTGGCAACTGTGGTGTTTCCCACGGGGGGGGGGGGGGGGTCTGCTCCCAGTTATGGCACCTGTGGTGTTTCCCACGGGGGGGTCTGCTCCCAGTTATGGCAACTGTGGTGTTTCCCACGGGGGGTCTGCTCCCAGTTATGGCAACTGTGGTGTTTCCCACGGGGCTCTGCTCCCAGTTATGGCAACTGTGGTGTTTCCCACGGGGGTCTCCTCCCAGTTATGGCAACTGTGGTGTTTCCAACCGGGGGGTCTGCTCCCAGTTATGGCAACTGTGGTGTTTCTCACGGGGGTCTCCTCCCAGTTATGGCAACTGTGACAAGCCATAACAAACTTTTTTTCCAAACTGGATTTTAAAATTCAGCCGAGTTGTGGCATTTACGGCTTCGACGGGTAGGCGGTTCAATGGTTTTATAACCCTGTGTGTGAAAAAGCATCTCCCGTTCTCGGTCCTTCACTGTGGCTTGTTGAGCTGGAAACCGTCGCTCCTTGTTTGTGTTGCATCTGACTTCTTGACGAAGTTATAACATTTGGGGTTTAAGGCTCATGCTGTTGTTGTGTTGATTTAGGGGCGACGACGATCGTGGGATCGGATGCGCCCCAAGGCTCATGCTCGGTGATGATATGGAAAATTTGTTTACTGAGAATTATATAAAATATATATAAATGTAATAATTTCCCAAGTAATAATTTCCCCTGTATTTTAATGTAAATTTATTCTCCAATTTTTGTAAATCGTTTATAGGTAAATAAGTATAACATTCAATTTTTTTTAAAGATCTTGTTCTGTACTACTGAAACACTTGTTCACTAAGAATTGTAATGTATAATTGCCTTGTAACACTTATGTATATGTAATTTATATTGTATTTTTTTTAAATAAAGATAAAAAAATGTTGTCAGGCCTCCAAATTAAGCCTGGCCTCAGGCCGGGGTCGGGGAGTAGAACTCCCAGAACCCCATCAAGCTGATATCAAATCGTTCAGTATTTTGAACGTTTCGATGAGATTATCCGTATCGTGAACTTGATCTTATCCTATCCTTATCCAGCCCTATCATAAGCTTGATTTTATATACAACTGTAAGGGGGCATATGAGCTCCTCGGCAGCCTTTGATGTAGAAGTAGTAATCCCCGTGGATTAATAAGGCCGCCACATAACAGGCTGGTGACCTCGAAATTGAAATTGAAATAAGTTTATTGAGGTAAAATACACACAAAGGGATGAGGTAGCTCAAGCTATTCTCACCCCGTTCAGTACATCGTGTTAATACATACATAGACACACATCACAAGCAATAAACGTATTGCCGAACATTCTGAGAGATAAACATATACATTTCCTGGTGACCTCGAGCACCTGTGACCCCAGTGGACGTCAGCGCCTCACTGACGTGTGAGTGGACATCGTCCGCTAGGCTGCTGGTCGACGCCGCGCTCAGACCTTCCAACTGTTCCGCTCTTTCTTTTTTTTTTTTTTTTTTTTTTTTTTTTTTTTTTTTTTTTTTTTTTTTTTTTTTTTTTTTGAGATATATACAAGAGTTGTTACATTCTTGTACAGCCACTAGTACGCGTAGCGTTTCGGGCAGCTGTTCTACTGTGTACTGTTGCTGCTCTTTTGTTACCTTGTATTGTTTGTGTCTTGTGCTGGGTGTTGTATTGCGTGTGTCGTCTTGTGCTGGGTATTGTATTGTGTGTGTCGTCTTGTGCTGGGTATTGTATTGTGTGTGTCGTCTTGTGCTGGGTATTGTATTGTGTGTGTCGTCTTGTGCTGGGTATTGTATTGTGTGTGTCGTCATGTGCTGGGTATTGTATTGTGTGTGTCGTCTTGTGCTGGGTATTGTATTGTGTGTGTCGTCTTGTGCTGGGTATTGTATTGTGTGTGTCGTCATGTGCTGGGTATTGTATTGCGTGTGTCGTCATGTGCTGGGTATTGTATTGTGTGTGTCGTCATGTGCTGGGTATTGTATTGCGTGTGTCGTCATGTGCTGGGTATTGTATTGCGTGTGTCGTCATGTGCTGGGTATTGTATTGCGTGTGTCGTCATGTGCTGGGTATTGTATTGTGTGTGTCGTCATGTGCTGGGTATTGTATTGTGTGTGTCGTCATGTGCTGGGTATTGTATTGCGTGTGTCGTCATGTGCTGGGTATTGTATTGCGTGTGTCGTCATGTGCTGGGTATTGTATTGTGTGTGTCGTCATGTGCTGGGTATTGTATTGCGTGTGTCGTCATGTGCTGGGTATTGTATTGCGTGTGTCGTCATGTGCTGGGTATTGTATTGCGTGTGTCGTCTTGTGCTGGGTGTTGTATTGTGTGTGTCGTCTTGTGCTGGGTATTGTATTGCGTGTGTCGTCATGTGCTGGGTATTGTATTGTGTGTGTCGTCTTGTGCTGGGTATTGTATTGTGTGTGTCGTTTTGTGCTGGGTATTGTATTGTGTTTGTCGTCCTGTGCTGGGTATTGTATTGTATTGTGTGTGTCGTCCTGTGCTGGGTATTGTATTGTATTGTGTGTCGTCATGTGCTGGGTATTGTATTGTGTGTGTCGTCTTGTGCTGGGTATTGTATTGTGTGTGTCGTCATGTGCTGGGTATTGTATTGTGTGTGTCGTCATGTGCTGGGTATTGTATTGTGTGTGTCGTCTTGTGCTGGGTATTGTATTGTGTGTGTCGTCTTGTGCTGGGTATCGTATTGTGTGTGTCGTCTTGTGCTGGGTATTGTATTGTGTTTGTCGTCCTGTGCTGGGTATTGTATTGTGTGTCGTCATGTGCTGGGTATTGTATTGTGTGTGTCGTCCTGTGCTGGGTATTGTATAGTATTGTGTGTCGTCATGTGCTGGGTATTGTATTGTGTGTGTCGTCTTGTGCTGGATATTGTATTGTGTGTGTCGTCATGTGCTGAACATTTCACCCAATTCATGCAGCACCTCTTCCCCCCCCCCCCCCCCACCTCCGACCTTCTACTCTCATTCCAATCTAATCCTCTTCCGCTCCCTCCCTATCTCTATCTCTCTCCTTGCCCCCCCCCCTTTCTCTCTCTCTATGTTGTGTTATAAAAAGATAAAAACTGATAACAGTTTTTATCTTTTTATAACAGTTGATACAGCGACTGTCTCCCGTGTTGGTGTTCAATTAGACTCCTATAGTGCCCAACCCAAGGAAATGTTACTATCAACAGTGTGCATATATGCCAGGGTACATGGCATATATGTATGCCATGTACCCTGCATGTAACCCCGATTGTTCCTTACGGACCTCTACTCTTCACTGGCATTTTCCTCCATATAGTTCACGCCAGTATGTTGGTATTTTACTGTGCAAATTGAGGAAATGGTCCTCCAGTATTTTCCATGTATATATTATTTGATACCTCCCTCTCGTCTCCTTTTTAGAGAATACATTTTGAAAGCTTTGAAACGATTCCAACAGTTTAGATTACGGTGGAATGGTAGTGAGAATGGTGTAGTTACTGGAGGGTTGAGGGTGGCGTAGTCGGTATGGATTCTATTTCCCCTAGTTAATGCAAGTATTATATACGAGTGGTGGAGAGTGAGGGAGGAGGGAGGTGTAGCCTAGTGACGTGGTCGCCTGGGGCACGGGACGGCCGGGTGGGGAAAGCCAGGCTGTCAGGCGGGGTCCACATCAGCCATGATTCACTCATGACGACACGACCTAACACCACATTCCACTAATCCTCAGCCAATTATGTTGCTCTGTAACCTCCTCTTGTCACCCGCGGTGGGTTAAGGGATAACAAATTAATTTAAAAACTCTTGCAAGCGGCCACAAGGCTTAAGACTGTCACTCCATTCCAGCATGAGGCAATTTTCCTGGTATTTTCTTCATTTTTTTTTTAATTTTGCCCCGAGGGGCGAGTTTATTGGGCAGCGCCACTCATCCTGTGAGTGGACACACCGCCATAGTGACAGTATTGGGCAGCGCCACTCATCCTGTGAGTGGACACACCGCCATAGTGACAGTATTGGGCAGCGCCACTCATCCTGTGAGTGGACACACCGCCATAGTGACAGTATTGGGCAGCGTCACTCATCCTGTGAGTGGACACACCGCCATAGTGACAGTATTGGGCAGCGCCACTCATCCTGTGAGTGGACACACCGCCATAGTGACAGTATTGGGCAGCGCCACTCATCCTGTGAGTGGACACACCGCCATAGTGACAGTATTGGGCAGCGCCACTCATCCTGTGAGTGGACACACCGCCA